GCAAGATGTGTATATCAAGTCAGTGCATGTGTGTTGTGAGCAAGTTTGTGTGTGTACACACATCTGTGTGTGCAAGAGTGTATCTGTATACATAGGTGGTTTTTCTCTTTGTGTTTGGTTGTGCTTGCATATTGCTAAGGGGTGTGTGTGCGTATGTTGGAGCTGGTATATTTCTCTGCATAAGTGAGTGCGTATGTGAATGGCTAGCTGTGTGTATCTGTGCCAGGATGTACACATCTGTGTTGGTGAGTGTGCCTAATCTATGTGAGAGGGTTTGGATGGGTCGATCTCTGTATGTTAGAGGGTATTGGAGTATGTACATGTGTGTATATATGAGCAGTTTTTTACTTGTCTATTTTTTTCTTCATGCACATATATCTGTGGGTATCTGAGGGGGATTCTGTCTGTGTATACATACGTGTGTGTTTGTGTGTGTGTATGTGTGTGGCAGGGTTCAAGTGCATGGGAGCATGCTGGCATATGTAAGTGACTTTGAATCTGAGTGTTAATGTGTGTAACAGTGTTTGTACATGTGATGGTATAGGTATGCCACTGTGCACATACCTGTGTTGCAAGAGTTTGCCTGAATATATGAGAGGATTTGAATAATCAGGTATATTGGGACAAAGAGTTTACGTGAGTCTATGTGTGAGTGACAGTGAGTAGGTTTGTGTGTGTGTATCTATCTGTCAGGACTTGAGAGTTCATCTGTGTGTGTGTGTGTGTTAGGGGAGTTATAATTGTGGGTTTATGGGCCATTGCAAATGTGTGTGTGTGTGTGTGTGTCTCAGTGTGTCTGTGTATATGAGCAATTCTCAGCCCTTTCATACCCAATGCCCTCTTTTATGTAACATATTTTGTAACAACCTTTACTGTCTGAACATGAGGTTCTTAGATAATATAACCTCTCTGCATATATAATTTCAAAAGAAAATCCCTATAGAATTTTATACAATATCCATATTGTATTAACTCTAATACAAATAAATAAGAAATAAAAGTGATTTATCAGAAAATAATTTGTATTTCAATATGTAAATGCTTGGGTGTGACACTTCCCAGGAGATTCAGTGAAGTAACTAGAGGCTTGTAGTGTCTTATGATGAGTAAACGTGAATTTAGGAGAAGGGGAGAATGACAAGCAAAGGCCTAGGGGTGAGATTTTCCGAAATAATGAACAACTCAAGTAAAGTGCTCCACAAAACAAAGTACAGTCTCTTTTGGATTTACATGACAGCTATATTCCTGGATAATTCAGGGTATATTAAAATCAGAGGGAAAATTGTGTTTATCTGTGAAATAGATTCTAGGTTCAGTTCATTACAAGTCCAAAATCCTAGGGGATGCGGGACATATGTTGGCTGTGTGGAACTGCCCGGCAGATCCCTGGATGGCCAGCATCCTTGCTGTGGACCCTTAAATGTTAGAAAGACATCTTACACCCCAGCATTGTAGCAACCAAAAATGCTCCTACAAATTTCCAAAATGTCCCCTAGGGGGCAGTAACGCCTTTGTTGAGGACGAAGCGCTGGCGTTTAGGCAGGGTACATTGTGCCTATGTGAACCAGGCAGCATACACAATATACACCCCCCCGTTTGTGTGTGTGTGTGTGTGTGTGTGTGTGTGAACTGGTTGCTGTCTGCGGGTCTCCATAGCAGTAGGCTATGTGTCTGTGTGAGTGTATGTGTAGGAGTCTGTGTATCTGTGTCTAAGGGCATCAGAGCACGAACAGGTGTGTATGTTTCGTGCAGGTACACACATCTCTAGCCTAGGATGGACCAAGGCTGTGGCTGCCAGTCTGTGCTCAAAACAACCCTCTCCTCATTTATTTATAGAATTGCCCCAGCTTTCCAGGCAACACCAGGGTTTTGTTTGTTTGCTGCTATTTTTTATTTTCTTTTGTTTTAGTGTTTGTTGTTGTTTTCACTGAGACTCTAGGTTACACATTATCCACCTTCTCAGTCTTAGTGTGTCTCTCTGTGTCTCCCTCTCTCTATATCCATCTTTGTTTCTGCCTCTCTCTGTCTCTGCCTCTGCCTCTGTCTCCATTCCTTCTCTGTAGCTATCTCGCACTCTCCATCCTCGTCTCTATTTCATCTTTCTCTTTTTCTTTCCTAGCATTATCCCTCTCTTCCTATTCTCTCTCTGTTTCCCTCCCTCCTTCCCCCGTATCTATTTTTTCTATCTCTTTCTTTCTATCTCTCTGCCTCTCTCCCTCTCTGTCTCTCTCTCTCTATTATTTCCATCTTTCTCTTTTTCTCTCCCTTCTCTGTCTCTCGCGCTCTGTGTTTCTGTCTCTGTCTTTTTTCTCACTCTTTCTCTCTTCTGCTTTCTGTCTCTATTTCTGTCTCTTCCTCTCTGTGTGTAGGGCCATTTCGCCCTTCTCTGTTTCTCTCTCTTTCCCTCCCCCCCCCATGTCTCCATCTGCCTCTCTCTCCCTCCCTTTCTCTCTTTCTCTCTGCTCCTCTCTCCTTCTCTGTCACTCTTTGCGTGTTTCTCTGACTCTCTCTGTCTCTATCACTTTCCCCCTGCCTCCTCTCAAGGCTAAGGAGTGTGTGTGTATGTGTATGTGAACATTCACACACACCCAGCTGTTGTCTGGTCCACAGTTCTGTGGGAGCTGTCAGGCCTTCAGGGGCCAAAAGAGGCCCACCAACTCCACTTCTCCCAAGCTCCTGCCCTAGCACCTTCTTGTGGCCTACTGGCAGCAGCTCTGAGACTTTGGGATGCCATCAAAAAAGCCTGGCCCCAGGTGGCTGTGGCAGGCCAGGTTGGATTGAGCTGGGAAACAGTGCAAAGGGGATATTTTTTCCTGGGAGGGAGCGGGTAGAAAGACATCCACTCAAGCCCCACCTCCACACACCTCAAGCCCATCCCAGCCCCAACAGTAGTTCTGAGCTTCTCCAGCTTCTGCCCAGTTGCCTTGCCCCCTCCCTCAGAGCCCTGCCCTGTTACCTTATCACACCCTATTGCCCTGCCTCCAGCCAGCACACATCAGGAGCTCTCCTGTTTTCCCGCAGGCTCTTCCTGTGCTATCCCACTCATGCATTGCTCAGGCTGCTTTTTCAGCAAATCCTACCTGGATGCCTCCAGGTGGCTCTCCCTGAGCCACCAGCCCGGTTAGTCCTTCAACCAATTGATTTCACAGCTTTTGACCGAGGACCTACCACGTGCTATGCACTGCTTTTCTAGAGGAGAGTGCGTGAGTCTATAATCCCTGCCCCTCTGGAGCTTTCATTGTAATAGGGAGAGGCAGGCAAAAAAACAAATTTTAAAAGTAAATTATATAGTAAATTAGAAGAGATAAATTCTAGGAAGAGAAATAAAGTAGGGCAAGGGGCACAGGGGTGCTATTATTTCTCACCTGGATTACCGCAGGAGCCTCATAAGTAGTCTCCCTACTTCCACCTTTGCCCACCATGGTCTGTGCTCCTCACAGCAGCAAGTGGGATCCCATTCAATCCTGAGTCATGTCACGTCTTTCCTCTGCTCAAAACCCTCCCATAGCTCCAATCGCACTCAGTAAAAGTCACAGTCCTCACCATGGCCTAAGTGATCTGGCCTTGCCGCCTTTCTGACCTCACCTCCCACCACTTTCCCCTCACTCACTCTGTTCCGTCCAGTGGCCTACCATGTGTAGTCCCACCTTAGGGCCTTTGCTCTAACTGTTCCCTCTGCCTGGCCTTCTCTTTCCCCAGATATCCACATAGCTCACTCTTTCACCTCCTTCAGGTCTTTGCTCAGATAACACCTCCTCCTTGAAGCCTTCCCTGTCCACCTCATCTAAAATTGCACCTCCCCCACCTCTAGCACTTCCTATCACCCTTCCCTCCTTTATTTGTATTTTTAGGAACTTATCATCACCTGACTTACTATACTTCACCTATATATCTTTATTATCTAGAATGTCAGCTTCACAAGGGCAGGGATCTTTGTCTATCTGGTTCACAGCTGTATCCTCAGTGCCCGGCACACAGTAGATGCTCAATAAATATTTTTTCAACAAATGAATACACACAAGCATACCTACATCTTTATATTCACACATACTCCCCATCTCACTTAAAATAAAAACCCAAGTCCTCATCATGGCCCATAGCCCTACACAATCTGGCCCCGGACACCTCTGTGACCTTAACTTCTACCCCTGTCTCCCTCGCCTACCCTGTTCCAACCACACTGGTCTTCCTGCGTTTCTTGAGTGTGCTAAGTACATTCCTGATAATGAATAAAGAAACTTATTTAACGAGTGGCTACTAGCATTAACAAAAAAAAACATGAAACAGAATAGAAACTAATGGGGTACATTACACATAGAATCAGTACTGTTTTGTGAAACTTTTGGTTCAGCTACATGTGCACGTGCATGTATGTGTACTGGGTTGTGATGTAAAATGTATTTCTTATTATGTGTGACAGTCAAAAAAGTTTGAAGAACACAACCTAGGGCTTTGCAAAGGGGCAGAAGAGCCACACCAACATCCCTGCCCCACAGACCCACCAATGGAGGAAACAGGTAACCAAGGACATCCAGAGACATGAAGCACCCTCACCCTGCAAGGAGGGGTATGAGCAGCAGTGGGCCAAGAACCCGACACCAGCGGGGAGTGAGTGGGGAGGTCACGTAGACACACTAACACTGCCCTTTCTGTTTCCTCCTCACCTTTCCTTTCCACCTGTTTCTTCTCACTGTCTTTTTCTTGTGTTTCTCTCTCTCTCTCTCTCTGTCTCTCTCTCTCTCTCTCTCTCCTCTCTTGTTCTTTCTTTCTCTCTCTCCCTCTCTCTGTTTCTCTCCTTCTTTCCCCCTCTGCTTGTGTCTCTGGTTTTGTCTCTCTCCTTATCTTTTCTCACTCTTTCTCATCCTCTCCATTTCTGTCTCAATTTGTATCCATTTATGTCTTTGTTGCCATTTTCTATCTCTTTGTTCTATTCTTTCTCACTCTATCTCTGTGCCTCTGTGTGTGTTTTTTCTCCCTGTCTCTCTCCTGCCCTCATCTCTCTGTCTCTCTGTGTCTGTGTCTCTCCCATTACCCCCAATTGCAGGTGCAGCCCAGCAGGACAACTGATGGAGTCCCCCAGGGCCCATCAAGTACTGGACTGGCTGACCCCATAGGGTTGGGAACAGCCCCTGCCCCTCAGTATGGCCAACACCACTGGAGAGCCTGAGGAGGTGAGCGGCGCACTGTCCCCGCCATCAGCATCAGCTTATGTGAAGCTGGTGCTGCTGGGACTGATCATGTGCGTGAGCCTGGCAGGCAACACCATCTTGTCCCTGCTGGTGCTCAAGGAGCGTGCCTTGCACAAGGCTCCTTACTACTTTCTGCTGGACCTGTGCCTGGCTGACAGCATACGCTCTGCCGTCTGCTTCCCCTTTGTGCTGGCTTCTGTGCGCCACGGCTCCTCATGGACCTTCAGTGCACTCAGCTGCAAGATTGTGGCCTTTATGGCCGTGCTCTTTTGCTTCCATGCAGCCTTCATGCTGTTCTGCATCAGCGTCACCCGCTACATGGCCATCGCCCACCACCGCTTCTATGCCAAGCGCATGACACTTTGGACATGCGCAGCTGTCATCTGCATGGCCTGGACCCTGTCTGTGGCCATGGCCTTCCCACCCGTCTTTGATGTGGGCACCTACAAGTTTATCCGTGAGGAGGACCAGTGCATCTTTGAGCATCGCTACTTCAAGGCCAATGACACATTGGGCTTCATGCTTATGTTGGCTGTGCTCATGGCAGCCACACATGCTGTCTATGGCAAGCTGCTCCTCTTCGAGTACCGTCACCGCAAGATGAAGCCAGTGCAGATGGTGCCAGCCATCAGCCAGAACTGGACATTCCATGGCCCTGGGGCTACTGGCCAGGCTGCTGCCAACTGGATTGCTGGCTTTGGCCGTGGGCCCATGCCACCAACCCTGCTGGGTATCCGGCAGAATGGGCACACAGCCAGCCGGCGGCTGCTGGGCATGGACGAGGTCAAGGGTGAAAAGCAGCTGGGCCGCATGTTCTATGCGATCACACTGCTCTTCCTGCTCCTCTGGTCACCCTACATTGTGGCCTGCTACTGGCGAGTGTTTGTGAAAGCCTGCGCCGTACCCCACCGTTACCTGGCCACAGCTGTTTGGATGAGCTTCGCCCAGGCTGCCGTCAACCCGATCGTCTGCTTCCTGCTCAACAAGGACCTCAAGAAGTGCCTGAGGACTCATGCCCCCTGCTGGAGCACAGGAGGTGCCCCGGGTCCCAGAGAACCCTACTGTGTCATGTGAAGCAGGCTGGTAGGCAGACAGGCAGGAAGGTCACCATGATGGGGCCACCTGAAAGGGAGAGGTGCGGCCCCATACAGGAGCCTTTCTTTCTGAGCTCCAGACCCAGCCCCTCGAACCACCTGGAATCTAGGCACCTTTGCCAACACCTCCCCAGGGTTGGGGACCGGGTGGGGGTGGGGGACTGGGAAAAAGGCATTTCTAGTTCTGTGGGGCCTGTCTCAGCCACCTCCTTCTCCACTTCTACAATCTCTCTCCTTTTCTCTCTCTCTCTCTCCCCCACCCCCAGAAGTGACAATTCAGAAAAAGAAAAGAAAACTGAAAATGCAGGTTTTTCTACTAATAGCTGAGGAGACAGGCTTTCTTGCTTTAATGTCTCTCCTTCTGACATTGTCCAGAAAGGGGAAATTTGTCCTGTAAAATAGACTTCCAGAGCTCTTATTGCCCCCTCTGCTCCCATGCACCCACCCCTTCCAAGTCCTTTAGCAAGGTCTGGATGTCTAGGGAGAAATTGGTATGCTGGCAAGAGGGATCAAGGGGGGTGCTGGGTCCCCAAGGAGCAGGGATGTTGAATTGCTATGTTGTGTGCAATGTTGTTTTAGGCTAACCCTGGTCCCAAGCCCAGTCTCCTCTCCCTCCCCACCATGTCCAGACCTCCCAAGTGTTTCTTGAGTATGTGTTTGAGAAGCCAGGAGAGGAGGGAGAAGGGCCCCTGGGATGAGCCCAGGCTAGGTGAAAAGCAGGATGTGAGCTGCATGCCTCGAGCTGAAGAGACCTGAGCTTGACTGCATTCTCTTGAGCTGCCTCCTGGATCCCTGGCCAACTCTTCCTGAGAGTGGAAATCCACTCCAGCCCCACTAAGGCTGATGTGGGTGCCATACAGGCAGGAGCAGCACCCCCAGGGAAGTGTAGGGAGAGAACCAAACACCCCAGAGTAGCTGGATCCCAGAGCTTGGGGTCAGAGTGAAATTCAATCCCAGAATTGTCTCCTGGGTTCACGCTACTCTCCTGAAGATGAAAATTCTTTTGGGGCCTTGGTAACTCATAGTGGTGTAAGCTCTGAGGCATTGTGGACTTGAGTCCATTCCTATCTGACCTCTTTTTGTCCTCCTCAAGCCTCAGGGGCCTCAAGCCCCTCCCTGGTAGCCCTTGACCTTCTGGGTCCTCAGTCTCCAAATCCCTTCCCCCAGACAGCTCTTCTCCCCCTTCCTCCCTTCAACCTTACCTCCACCCAAACGGGAGCAGACTTCAGCCAGATTCTCCAGGTGGGAAATCCCAAGCCTCCATCCCGGGGCAGAATCCACTCTGGGCTCACGTCAAGGCCAGTTCTTGTGGACTGGTGAGCCAAGTTGGCATTCCTTTGCCCAGTCTTGCCTGGGTTCTCTGTCCCTCTCTCATTTTCGGGGGGAGGGGAAGATCTATATTTATCCTCCCCCTTTTCCCTTCCCTATAGAAGCCCTTGTCCTAAGCTCCTTCCCTACCCCAGGACAGTCCCATAGCTGGGGAAGCCTTGAGCCAAGAGGAATGGGGAGGGCACTCTAGGCAGGAGAGACATTAATGAGCCTGGCTGTGGAGTGGCCCTGGAAATGCAGGCCAGAGTGGCTGAGAGGCTGGGGGTGGGAGGGTACCTGTTCTCTCAGTGATAGTGATGGGGTGCCTTTCCCAGGGGGTGGGGCGGGGGAACCACAGGGGTGGGGGTAGATAGGGTACATTCAGGAGGGTTTTCCTCCATTTCTTTTTTCTAACTGCCTGGATTCACCATTGGATTTTGTAAATGGAAAACTGAAATGAACAGTGCTATATTGGATGTTTTCTCTTTCTGCCTGTGTGTGTGTGTGTGTGTGTCTGTGTGTCTGTGTGTCTTGTGTGACATGTGGAGAGGTATGGCCGAGTGAGACAGTGTGTGTCCGTGTGACTTTGTGTGGGGAAGCACCTCTGCCTGGCACACCCATGTGAGCAAATGCCTGTATGTGGAGACATATGATGCATGCGTGCACACACATACACCTGTGCACCTAACTGAAAGGAGACAAACTAGAGCATGTGCCTGTGGCAGGAAGTAGAGTAGTCGGAGAGATGGAACTTGAAAACTGTACGTATGTATGTAGCAATAGGTAGACTCCCACCTCATAAGATCTTCCTCCCTTGTCCCAGGCTCTGAACATGGGGGACAGGATGCTTGAGAACCCCACCTCTTCCCACAGCCTGGAGCCCCCAGGTACCACTCCCAACTCCTGTATCAGTCTCCTCTCCAAAACCCAAACAAGGTGTTGCTGAAACTGGACCACCATGAGGATCAAACCTGGGGGAAATTGATGGGGTTAGGAAATGCCCCCCACAAAGTAATGGCTTCTGGAGGGATTGCTCAGTTTGCAGCGGGAGCCCTTCCCAAGGGTCCACTGTATATAGCTGGGACTTTGATAAGCTTTGACTAAATTCAGGGGGAGGGAAATGTCACAGGGGGAAAACACTCAAGCCTGGAAGTCTACCCAGCCAGCCTGCTCCCCAGGCACTCAATTACTTTACCATTTGTTTACTTATTCTCTCAGGTGCACAGAATTGAGCTGACCTTACTTACTCCTCAGTTCTTGGCACACTATATCATCATTAGTCCATGAGAGGCCCTTTTCTTTATTTTGTTTTAGTTTGTCCCCTTCATCACCCATCCCTGATCCCATCCCCCCTCCCACATAGGCACCTACTCTCCTGTATTTAACTTACGTCCTTCCAATCCACCGTTCATGTGTTTATTTACATATATGTGTATCTGTGAAAAATATATGGTATTGTTGTGTTTTTATTTACATAAACAGTATTGTACTATAAATCTTGTTCTGTTTTTTTTTCACTCAACATTCTGTTTTTGAGAGATCCAGCCATGTTGCCGTATGTAGATCTAATTCATTCTAATGGTCCATCTTATTACATATATCACATTTTCCTTGTCCATTCCCCTGGTGATGGGTCTCTAGGTTGCCTCCAATTCTCTGCTACCACAACAAGGCCGCAATGGGCAGTTTCCTGCATGTCTCTTTAAGGACGCCTAATTTAGACGAGAGGAAACTGAAGCTCAGAGAGAGGCAGTGATTTGGTTAAGGTTACAAAGTGAGGAGCAGACCGGCAACGTGAATCCCAGACCAAAGCCAGAACCCCACCACCATACCTCACCAAAGGTTGAGACCATCCATCTGGCCAAAAAAAAACCTAAAATACAATTTAAAACAGCATACACTGGGGAAAGGGAGAGGAAAGGATGGGAAGAAGTATTGAGCAGATGAAGAGATATCAAGTCCTAGAAAAATCTAGCAGATGAACTGAATCACAATCATTTTAATGATGCAGAGAAAGTTACTTTTCTGTGTGATTATTTCTAGAGCTATTTTGCAGAGATGGAAAACGCCACGTCAAAAGCGGACCCCAAACCAAAGGCCCTAGGTTTCTGAATTAGAGGCTCCTTTAGGGCAACCCGAGCCCGGAGGGGCCATATCAGAGTTCGCCGCAAGGCAAAAGCCAGGGATAGAAGAACGGGCAGATTTAAGAAGTGCGTAGTTGCTGAGGGGAGGGGAGAAGAGGGGGAAAACGATAACGAGGCTCTCCCAATTTTATTTGAGCACATCCTGCTCAGTGCCTGCGTTTTTTTTTTGTTTTGTTTTTTGGTCTTCAGAACCACTGGTACTCTTCCCATTGGATAAAACGTTGGAAGGGTGAGGGACAGCGGCTTCTTCCCGTTAGCTTCCCTCCCGTCGCTGGGGTAGTCAGACCGACGATTGGCGGGCCGGAGGAGAGCCAATCCGAAAATGATGAGGTGCGGTGTTGGCAAGCGGCTTGCGCGAGAGCTGGCAGAGGTCAAGGGAGCGCAAGCGCCGCCGCTGCGGCTGGCAGCCAATGGCGAGGCAGAACGGGCCTCTTACGTCATGGAGAGGGCGGGACCTGGGCTCTTGGCGCGGAGGGAGTAGGGCAGGCGCTGTGGGAGGGAACGTCAGAGCGAGGCTGTGAGGAGAGCTGGTCGCGTGAGGCGCGGCGGCTCCGCTTCAGGTGTGTCAGGCAGTGGCAGCCCGGCTGAGAGCGAAGGGGCGAGCGCGATCCCCTGAGCTGTGTGAGCGCGGTCACCATGGACCGCCCGGATGAGGGGCCTCCGGCCAAGGCCCGCCGCCTGGGTAGCTCCGAGCTGCCTCAGCACGACCTGCAGCCGCCGCCGCCGCCGCCGCCGCTCCTGCGACTGCCCCTGCCTCCCCCTCAGCAGCGCCCAAGGCTCCAGGAGGAAACCGAGGCCGCACAGGTGCTGGCTGACATGAGGGGGGTGGGACTGGGCCCCGCTCTGCCCCCGCCGCCACCCTATGTCATTCTGGAGGAGGGGGGGATCCGCGCGTACTTCACCCTGGGTGCTGGGGGTCCGGGCTGGGAGCCTGCGATCGAGTCAGCGTACGGGGAGGCGCCCCCTCCCACGGAGAGCCTGGAAGCGCTCTCTCCTTCGGAGGCTTCTGGGGGAAGCCTGGAAATTGACTTTCAGGTTACAGAGCCCAGCAGCTTTGCTGGAGACAAGGCCCTAGAAACCTGTAGCGCAGGGGGACGGGGGTACCAGAGGTTAGCCGGTCCAAAGGGGAAGGAAGAGGCGGTCATCATAGTGGAAGACGACGATGAGGATGAAAAGGAAAGTGTGAGGAAGAGGAGGAGGAGGAGGAGGAGGAAGAGGAAGCAGAGGAAGGTGAAGAAGGAAAGCAAAGAGAATAATGTGGAGAAGATAGAGTGCATCCTGCAGGCACTGGAAAACATTCAACTGGACCTGGAGGCAGTGAACATCAAGGCGGGCAAGGCCTTCCTCCGTCTCAAGCGCAAATTCATCCAGATGAGAAGACCCTTCCTGGAGCGCAGAGACCTCATCATCCAGCATATCCCAGGCTTCTGGGTCAAAGCAGTATCCTTGTCATCTATACTCATGGGCCAGGAGCCCATGACAGAAATGGGAGGAGGTGGGGGAGGGACAGACAAGGTGAAAGGGTGTGGTGATGGGCCCCTATTGGAAGAACAGCTAGGTTTGGTGGAGGAGGGATGGAAGGAGGGGGGCAAAACAGCAGAGAAGCTGGACTAGAGATGGTGAAGGGGGGAGGGGGGCACACAGAATAAAAACTGGACCACAGACGGGAAAGCGGGGAGAGGAGGAGCATAACATTAAAAATGGATCACAGATGGTGAAAGGGGGAGGGTAGTAGAGGGGCACACCGCAGAAAAATTGGACCAGAGGGGGTGAAAGGAGGAGGGGAGGGGCACACAGAAGATAAACTGACTCAGAGACAGTAAAGAGGTAAGGGAAGGGCACAGAGCAGAGAAATTTGCTCAGAAATGGTTCCTAAGTCACACATGGCTCTGCAAGCCTAGGTCTCTGCTTAGATACTAAGGAGACCTCAATCCTGGCTGTAGAGAAGGAGGCTAGAAAGGGGCTGGAGCCTCTGAAGGATCAGGAGAAGGAGTACCTAGGAATGAAGATCAAGGAGTTAAATGAAGAAAAGGGGAGAGTAAGAAGAATCACTATTGGTGATAAGCTCATCTCTGGGGGACACACATACATGCAACATGTTAGGAACGCATGAGTTTAACATCCTAATGGAATTACATGGATGCAGACCCTTGGCACTCCCATACAAAGTGTCACATGATCACAGGCCCTCAGCACCCAGGCACACAGTTCATGTGTACGCAAGACTTCAGCACCCAAACACAGTATTATGTGGCCACAGGTCCGCAGCACACAGACATACAGCATCATGTGACTATTGGCCCTCAGCACCCAGACACAGCATCACTTGGACACAAACACTCAGACCCAGACACACAACATCATGTGGACACAGACCCATAACACTCAAATATACAACATCATGTGACTGCAGGCCCTCAGCAACCAGGTATAGCATTACTTGGATACAGGCCTTCAGCCCCTAGACACACAATGTTGTGAACACAAACCCTCAGCACCCGAAGATACAACATCACATGGACATAAACCCTCAGCACCCAGACGGACAGCAAATATGAACCATGGCACAGCTATCTAACACAGAGGTTTAACACTGCATAAACACAGGCTCCCACCACATAGACAGTAACATGGGAATAAAAGTACTGGTCATGTCCCATAACCCACTTGCTCCACACACATCACGTGAACACAGAAAAAATTCTCCTGCTCCAGCCTCTCTTTTGCTCTGCCCTGCCTGGCCTTCCCTCCTTCCTTCTCTCGTTGAACAGTCACTCCTTGACCTAAACTGCTCCCTCCATCAGTTCCTCAACCACCCCAAAATTTCAATCTTGATCAACCAACGCGATGAAGACATTTTCCACTACTTGACCAATCTGCAGGTCAGGCCAAAGAGATATTTTTTACTAGGACCGGGCAAGGAATCTGATCTTTGGAGGTGAGGGGGTGGGGTGGGAGAGGCCCCGATGTGGTGGGGATTCCACTATTACCCCCACCCTGAGCAGGTACAGGATCTCAGACATATCTCCATGGGCTACAAAATGAAGCTGTACTTCCAGACAAACCCCTACTTCACAAACATGGTAATTGTCAAGGAGTTCCAGCACAACCACTCGGGTAAGGGGCAGTCTCAGGGCAAATCCATGGGTCTCTCAGCTATCCTTGTCCAGTGCCCTCTCCTTAGCCTCCTTTCCCCACAGGCCGGCTAGTGTCTCACTCCACCCCAATCCGTTGGCACCGGGGCCAGGAACCCCAGGCCCACAGGCACAGGAACCGGGACACCAGCCACAGCTTCTTTAGCTGGTTCTCAAACCACAGCCTCCCAGAGGCCGACAGGATTGCTGAGGTGGGGCCCCTCCCAGCATTGCCAGAGAAGGCCTTGCCTCTGGGTGCCTGAGGAATTGGGAGTAGGCTCTGGGGCTTGTACTCATAGCTCTGTTCTCCCTTTTCCCCTCTTTTTCAACAGATTATCAAAAATGACCTGTGGGTTAACCCTCTGCGCTACTACATGATGGGAGAAGGAGGCTACAGGGCAAACAGAAAGAAGCAAGAAAAGGAAGAAAGGTGATGGGGGGTTGGTGGCTGAGAGGTGGTTTGTTACGGATGGGGCAAAGACTAGGCTAGTGTCACACAGGATTTATAGAGCCAAAAGGGAACTTTGAGATGATCCAGTTCAATATGTTTTATAAGTGGGGAATGATGCCCAGAAATGGGGTGTGATTGGCCTGAGGTTACACAGTCAGGGGCAGAAATGGGACTTTCCCCATCCTAGCCTCATCCCTGGGAGCCCTTGTAGCCTACTGCCTTCCCAGTTACTTACCACCTTTCAGTGTCTGTCCTGGGTACACCACCTCCCAACAACCCTATACTCAACCCCAGGCTTCCCCACAGTAAAAACAGGGATGAATATGAGGTGGTGATTGTGGAAGACTCTGATGACTATCACACAATGGAAGACATTATCAGTGAGACCTCAGACAGTGATGGTATCACCGACAATGAGACCATTCATGACATCAAGATCTCTGACTTCATGGAGACCACTGACTGCTTCGAGACCACTGACAACGAGATAACTGACATCAACGAGAGCCTCTGTGACAGTGAGAGCCCTGACTACAATGAGAGCCCTGACAATGAGACCACCGACGATGAGAGTCCTGATGACAATGAAACCACTGATAACAATGAGAGCGCTGATGACAGCGAGACCACTGACAACAATGAGAGTGCCGATGACAACAACGAGAATCCTGACAACAATGAGAATTCCAGTGACAACAGTGAGAACCCCGAAGACAACAACACTGATGACAATGAAGAGAACCCTGATAACAACAAAGAGAACACTGACAACAATGATGAGAACACTGATGGTGACAACAAGAACCCCAATGGTGATGATGAGAACCCCAAAGGTAGCCACCACAGCAGCAATGACAACAACCAGGACAGCAGTGACAGTGACAATGAAGGAGACAATGAGGGCAGTGATGATGAAGATAATGATGGCAACGAAGGTGACAACGAAGGCAGTGATGATGATGGCAATGAAGGTGACAATGAAGGCAGCGATGATGATGACAGAGACATTGAAGACTACAAGAATGACATTGAAGACCCTGACAGGGATCAGGATAACAGCAACAACCAAGATGACTATGAGGATGAGGTAGAGAACATCTCTGAAGAAGAATCTTCAGTGGAAGAAGAAGAAGAGGGCAGTGAGGAAGGTGAGGTAGACTCCCTCTTATCTTCCCTCCTTTCTCTTCTCTCAGAGAAAAGCTGGCCAGGGTCAGGGTATCAAAGCATGAGTACAATCTGCTCTTGTGGAGAAAAGAAAAAAGCATTCTGTGCAAGTTTTTAAACAAAGCAATGCCAGGGAACATTTAACTTACAAATGTAATAAAACCAAAGAAACAAATTTCAGTTGTAGGTGATGGGTAGATAGGTTGTAACAAAGCAAAAGACAAATGAAGAAGAAAAAGAGAGAGGAGACAGTGGGTGGAAAACTAAGAAGGACAGGTTCACACGGAGAGAGAGGGAAAAAAGCGGCAAACACATTGTAATTCAACACACTCTGTACCCAGCCCTGGCCTTCTGGGAACTCCCAGGCTTGTTTGGGGAGCTGAGGGTGAAGTGAACAGTGTGCTCTGTGAGCCCAGAGGAGGGAGCAGCTAATTTTCCCTCAAGAGTGGGGAAGGGCAGAACTAGAGAAACGAAGTGACATTTGAATTGGAGGCTGTATTCATGTTAAAAAGCACTACGGGCATTCTGGTGGAAGGGATCACGTAAACAAGGACCTGGAAGGGTGAAAATGCATAGTATGTGGGAAAGGTTTCCCGAATTGTCTTCTGAGGACCCTTTACTAGTTCTAAAAACTGCTTCTCACAACAAGGTTCAGTGGTCAAATATTTTAGGGAAATACTGCATACAATAATAATATCCTCATGTAGAATTATATGTATATTAGCACCTTAAAGGCTCTGAGAAGTTCTGCTGTAAGAAACTTATTTAAACTTTGTGGAATCCAGAATTTCCCAAACTTCTTGGCCTCAGAATCCATTGTTCACTGTTCACCAAAGAATGCATTTTGGGAAATGCTGAGGAAGGGTTGCATGGGGGGGTTTGAGGGAGAATGCAGTATTTAAGGTGGATCCCAGGTTTGGTTCTGGCCTGGATGACTGGTGAAAGGAGGTACCATTTCCTGGGATGGGGAACCGCTTAGTGGTGGGATTGATGGGATGCAGGGAGGAACATGGAGTTGGAAGGGCTTGTTGGACATAAGGTACAGGTGGCCCAGGGGCAGGTAGTTGGTTATGTCTGGGAAGTCAGAAGTTGTAAAGAAAGGGGGGTAACAAGCCAGAGCAGAGTCCTAGCCTTGGATTCTGGGGCAAATTAACATTATTGGGTCCAATTAACATTAATGAAGTGCTATTCTAAGTGATTTACTTGGTCTAATTCATTTAATCCTCACAGCAACTCTTGTGAGGTAGGTACTATTATCCCCATTTTATAGATGAGGAAACTGAGGCTCTGAGAGGGTAGAGTTAGGAGGAGAACCAGGTCATGGAATGTTGTAAGGAGGGGATTGTCAGGAGTGTCCAGTGCTGCTCCAAGGTCAAGTAAAAGGATGACTAGGATGTGTCCCTTGGATTTGGGGCTGAATAGATCATCTGTGACCTTGGCAAGAGTAGTTTCAATGGATTGGTGGGGGAAGAACCAGACCACAGTGGAGTGGGGGGAGGGAATAAGCAAGGAATAAGGTAATAGAGTTAAACCTTGGCTAGGAAGGGGATGGCAGAGGGCAGGCAAGGGAAATGTTTGAGCCTGGCTGTAGGCAGGCAAACGGAGGAGAGGCAGACCCCTGGGGGAGGTGGAAGGAGCAGAAAGACCAACCACTCCTGGAGGTTTTGGCCATGGGGTCCCTGGCAAATGGTCCCTTCCATTGAGGGCAGGGGCAAGGCACCGAGGAAGGAGGCATTGAATGAGTGAGTAGACGTGAGTAGACTCAATCTAGACATATTTTCAGGTAGGGTAGGGAAACTGAAGGAGATGCCAGCCCCATCCTCTCCCACAGGATGGCATATCTTCTTTCAGAGAAGGGGAGGCAGAGTTATCCACCCAACCCTAGGGTGAGGAATTGGGCTGAAGAAGACAGACTGGGGCCTGTTTGGATCAGACTGGGGAGAAGGAGCGAGGGAGCTGCCTCAGGATGAATAGAAGGTTTATTCAGCTGAGGTGGGAGTTCAGGAAGAGACACACATTGATGCGTACAGGAGGAGAAAAAGCTACTTTTGGACATGTATCAATTTTGATAGGACAGAGGCAGGAAACCCACCCTGCCTTCTTGCTTCCCTCCCATTCCCCCTCACTCTGGGCTCGCTTGAGTTCACACACACACACACACACATTTGGCTGCTTGTTCCAAGCAGAGGTGCTTGGTAAGTGGTCCCAGGCCCCCAAAAGCCCTGGCTCTGGGCTCTGTTCCCTGTTAAGAGTGACATTTACCTGCCCATCTAACCACCCTCCGCCATATTCCCCTCCTTGCCTCTCTCTCCCCTGTGCAGGCAGCGAGCAAGGTGAGGACAGCGATGACGAGGACAGAAGCGAGGAAGAAGGAATCGAAGATTCGGAAGGAGGGGAAGACTCTGAAGACTCCGACATGGAAGAGGTGCTTCATGTCCAAAACGCTTGGGCCAACCCGGGGAAGAGGGGCAAAACCGGATAAAAGTCTCCCTCTTGCGGGGGCTGCCTCTCTGTATCCTTCTGCTCCTGCCCCATTTGCCTTCCCCCTCAGCTAGGGCCGTGCGGCCCCACATTGCACTTCTGGGGGGTGACCGACTTCGTACACGGGTTTCAAGTTTATTTTTATGGTTTAGTAATTGCAGAGTTCTTATTTTGGGGGGGAAAGAAGGGGATTCCCCCTTCCTTTTGGCTCTCCTCCCCCGCAGGCTTCTGTGTGCTGCTAAATGTATTTATTGTGATGCCTTGGTCAGGGCCCCTCTATTCTCCTCCTCGTGCGTATGGGGTGGACACCCTTAATGCCGAAGCGGGGAGGGCTGCTGTGGCCTTGAGGGGCTCTGCTGCCACCCTGTTCTCCCAAGTCTTTTCTTTCCCTCCATCTCTCGCCTTCCCCGCTGTGCCCGCTAGCTCGCCTCGGTGTCTATGCAAGGCCGCTTCCCCATTACGGTACTCCTGTCCCCCTCCCCCAGAAGCCCCGCCTTGTTCCCTGTGAACCCTGGTAATCCTAATAAAATTCTGAGCAAAATCAAAGTGCTGCTTCGAGTCTTTTGTCCCGCCTGGTGCGCCGTCCCCAACAACCAGTCTCCCTTCCCACAGGCCTGCATATAGCCGCCTAGTCTGCGCGCTGGCCCGCAAGATGGTAGTTGCGGGGGTCGTGGGGTTGGTTGGCTGGCTGGGAGCGAGCTCCGCTGGGCCACAGAGGTGTTGCGTCAGGCCAATGCGGACCATCCTGGCCAATGGCAGGGCGAGGCTCAGGAAGTCCTTCCCTCTCCTGGCGCCGCAATGGACGCAGTCAGGTAGCCAACGGCTTCCCGAGCCTTCCCCTCTCGCACACGCGCACAGAAACGCCCTGCGCCCTAGAACATCCATTTATTCAGTGATTCATCGTTTTATTTATCGTGCGTCAAACCTTTCCTCCGGCCTAGTGTGAGCTGGGCGTGGGGGGAGCCTGAGGAATCTATTTTTCTCGTTTGCATGTAGTAGAAAAAAAAATATCGGTTGGGACTTCACAACCCAATAATGCAGGAATGCTCTCATCTCAGGGAGAGGGTGCAGGGTCCCTGGAGCTTGGCCTGGGAAAGAAAGCAAGAAAAGATGGCCCAGGCCAAGGAGTTTGCGTAGAGATAAGGGAAAAGCAAAGGGAAATTACTATATATAGCTGTGTGTGTGATGAGGGGGTGGTCGGGAGTTGGGCGTCTGAAAGGCAGGCTTTCTCTGGGCGACCTTGGAAAGGCCGGGTTGTTTTAAACTTTGGATATAGTAACTTTATTTCAACGGACATCAGAAATACTTCCCAGATTCTTTCTGGATCATAATGATAACTTATACACACATCCGGGTGGGTCTTCTGCAATATACCTCCCGAACTTTCCATCCAACGCCCTTATTTTGCTGGAAAGCTCCAGATACGGTTAGATTTGCGTTTTAGAAAATGCCCTCTGCTGGCTGCCAGGAGAATGGATTGGGGGAAGGCAGAGCAGTGAGGACGTTGACTCTATACCTCAGGTGAGAGTGGCGTGATGGGGGCAGATATGGGAAGTTTTTTAAAATAAATTTTTTTATTTTAGAAGTTTTAGATTTACAGAAATATTGCTAAGATAATACACACAGTTACCGTATACCCCACAGCCAGTTTCCTCTACTGTTAACATCTTACATTAGTATGGTACATCTGTCACAATTGATGAACCAATATCAATACATTATTATTAACTAAAGTCCATACTTTATTCAGATTTCCTTAGTTTTTACCTAATGCCCTTTTTCTGTTCCAGGATGCCATCCAGGATACGACATTACGTTTAGTCATCATGTCTCCATAGGCTCCTCTTGGCTGTGACAGTTTCTGAGGCTTTCCTTGTTTTTGATGACCTGGAGTCATCAACATTTGAGGAGTACCGGTCAGGTATTTTGTAGAATGTCCCTCAATGGGGATTTGTCTGATGTTTTCTCATGATTAGACAGGGGTTATGGGTTTGGGGAAGGAAGACAGAAATTAAAGTACCATTCTCATTGCATCATATCAAGGGTATGTGCTATCAATATGCCTTACCACTATTGATCTTAACGTTGAGCACCCAGCTGAGGTAGTGTATGTCAGGTTTCTCCACTGTAAAATTACTCCTTCCACCCCCCATCCTTTCCATACTGTACTCTTTTGGAAGTAAGCCACTTAAGTGTAGCCCATGCTTAGGGAGTGGGGAGTTATGCTCCATCTCTTTGAGGGGGGAAGTAGCTACATAAATTAATTGGAATTCTCCTGCGAGGAAAATGTGACTATTCTATGAGAGCTTTTAAGGTGCTGGAATTGACAGGCTTTAGATATAGGAAAAGAGGGATTGAGAGAAGTCAGGGATGGCTGCCAGGTTCCTGTGGGACCTTTGGCAAGACCCCTTCTCTCTCTGGGCCTCCTCTGTGAAATAGTTGGAATACCAGCTCTTGGACATACTCCATGTTTCTGATAAATGTTTTGAGGAGAGCATGGAGGCTTGGATGCCTCTGGTTCTGACCTGGGACCGCACTGTCAGAAGTGAGTAGAGGAGACTCTGGCCCAGAAAGGAAAACATCTTCCCTCAGGACCAGAGCTGAGAGTGCAGGATCCTGAGTCAAGGCATCTTGTGCAGAGGGAAGAGACACCTATGTGCAATATCAGGAGCCAGTCCCATTGAGCATGTGGTGAAGTGAAGGCAGGGGGAAAGCAGCAGGGGCTAAGGGCCTGGAGTGGGCCAGGAAGAGGTCAGCTTGGCAAGAGGATCACAGCCAGTCTGAGAGACAGATGGCCAGGGTACCCTTGCCTCAATCTGCTCTGCATCACAACGTGACCCCCTCACCCTGCCTAGAAGGCCTCAGTTTTCCCATCTGCAAACTTAGGCTAATCATGCTAGGGGATCAGCCCAGGAGAAGCAACCTGCCTAAGATCCCAAGATAGAGTCTAGCCTTGAAGCAGACCTCTGAAGCCTAGCCTTCATCATGATCTTCCCTGATTCCTCTCTGTCCCCCTAATCAAATCCTCAGCCCCTTATCCTGGCATTTGAGGCTCTTCTTCACCCATCGTGTCAGAGAGAGCCTCTGGCTTCAGGGACACTGTTAGGAGCCTATTATGGGATTCTAATATAGTTGGCCAGGGTGCTCATGTCCTGGGCTGAGGCATGAGAGGAGAGGATGTTCTTTGCCTAGAGTGACATCTTGTTCCCTGTGCCCTCCCTCCTCAGTGTGTGGTCTGGTTTCAGGTCCTGCCCATTCTGGGCTTCCAAAAGGGAGGGCTATTCTAGATGGTCTTTAAGGTTACATCCAACTCCAAAATATAGTCTTTGCTGAAGACCAGAGAAGATGGGCCCCATTTGCTGGGATCCTAAACAGAAACCAAGAGGAGGATGAGGAGTCGTGGACCCAATGTGCCCTAGGGCCTGTTCCTAGCTGAAGCTACTTGTCTTTGTATCCTTCACCCCACTTCTCTGCAGCAGAGGACCCTACTCCTGGGGGTGAGGTTCCCAGGATCTCCTGGGGCCAGACCTTTAAAGTGCCACCCACTTCTGTGAACAAAAGCAGACTAGTAGGGACAAAACTAGATTCAGGAATATTCCTCCTTCTTAGGTGACTAAAAGGGCCAGCACTGGCTCCCTCAGTTGGGGGTGTGGAGGATGGTTAGAGAGAAATCCTGTTATTCATTCAGTAAACATTTATTGAGCACCTACTGTGTGCCTGATACTAAACGGGTGATAGGGATACAACAAAGAAACATGATAGACCAAGTCTTTGTCCTCCTGGAGCCCAGAGTTTTAAATGTCCACCCACATTTTTTGTGGATGGACCTGTTTGGTGATCTGGTGAAGGCTATAGACCTTTTCTCAGAAGACAATATCTTTTAAATGCATAAAATAAAATACCTAGAGTTACAAAAGAAACTGATTTACTGAAATACAGTTATTAAAATATGGAAAAAGCAAATATGTGCTATAGTAGTGTATGTGCTCCTGGTTAATCCATTAAATCATAAGATCTAATGGAGGGTCTAATGACTATCATTATTTTAAAATAGAGATGAGATTACATGATATTTCAAAATATCTGCAACATCTATAATGTGATATGAAAATCTCTGTGATTTCTATTGGTGACAGAGTCACAGGTACTACTACTACTATGGTTAGTTACATTCTTTACTGAAAAAAATGCTAAATTTCAATTAGAGAAGAGTGAAAATAAAGATGTAATTTTTTTTCCCATCCAAATTCATGGGCCCCTCCAAACCTTCTTCCTGGACTGGATTGGAGGTCTGTGAACCCAAATTAAGAACTCTGGTAATAGGAAGGGCCTTTGTGTCTCTCCTTCCTTCTTAAACAGCTTTCGTTTGGAGGACAGGAACCTGGGTTTTATTCTGGGTCTTATTGCTATGTGACCTCAAGCCAATCAGTTTGCCTCTCTGGGCCATAGTTCCCTCAGTCTGAAACAATGGGAAAGGCAAGAATTGGGAGGGGAGACCTTAACTATTTATGCTCTAGGCAATTAATTATCTTCTCTCACTTAATCCTCACAACAACATTGTCAGGAAAGATTTTTAAATTATCTTCCCATTTCACAAATGGTTAAACTGAGGCTCCTAGCAAGGTTGTCGCTTGACCAATGTCTTAGTAAGTAGAAGGGGCTGGTGGGTGACTGGTCAGACCCCCATAACCACCTCATCCTCCATGGATGAAATTAGGAACTACACTCAGTTTCAGTAAGAGAAACCTGGCTTAGAAATCCCTGCAGGTGGGGGTAGAGCTATGGGAAATCGGGGGCAGAGTCGTGTCTCAGCAGAGTCCTGGCTTACGCAAGGTGGCTCACGGAGAGTAAGATGTCAAGAAGCCAGGAATCTGCCATTGTTCAGTGAGTCACGCCAGGCCCCACTTTGGGCTTCGCGCCTGCGTGATCCCAACTAACCTCAGGAAGCCCTGTTGAATAGACTGGCAAAGAGCAATGACGAGTCCTCGTCTCCTGGCCAATCCTCATACAGGGTGGGCTTGGCTCGTAAACCAATCAAAGACGCCCGAAGGGGCGGAGTTTTCCTGGCCTGGATCCCGGCCTGGGGGGTAAAAATAAAGTGTTTCCGTCTCCAGCCAATCCCAGGGAAGACGGGAGGACACTCTTCCAATGGGAGCCCGGGAGCCGTCCGTAGCGGTGGAGGCCTGCGACCCCGCTCTCGTTCGAGCCGGCGGGAGGGACGTGTCCAGGGTGTTCGCGAGATCCAGCTGCCGGCCCCTGGAATCTGCTCGCGTGCAGCAGCGGCAGCGCCGAAGGCCGGAGGTGTCGGGTGAGACGCTGTAAAGACGCAGGTCGGGGGCGCAAGGGAAAGAGGCTGGGCCGAAGCGCGTGAAGGGTGGGATCTGGGCGAGCTTTTACCTGAGCGGCCTCTCAACCCTAGGTCAGCGGGTTGCGGAGGATCGTGCGGGTAGCAGAGGGAGGGGAGTGCTCCTGCAGCCCCGGACGGCGACCAGGTGAGTACCCTGCGGAGCCCACCGCCCGTGCCCGCCCTCCGAGCCCCCCCGCCC